TAAGTAGCTTTAAACTTGTAACAGCATACGCCTATTTATAATTAAATTTTATTGTTTTATTGCCCTTTGAACCATGTCTAACTACTATTTACGCCATTATAAGTTGTAACTCACTTGGGGAACATGCAGCTCACGTTGCACTATCGAATTACCTTACCCATAATCTACTCTGAGCTGCTCATGTGCATGCCTGGTGAAATATATTTATTATATTATTATTATTTATTTTACCTAATCTAACCTTAACTAACCTAAAGAGTTCCCTATTTTTACATTTTAGTTACTTTTATAATAATGAATAAAGAATAAACATGAAAAACAAGAAATAAAGTACTTACCCGAGTATTCTTTTTTTTTTACTGTTGACTATCGATGACACTTAACCCTACTTTTATATACTAATGGTAGTAATGCATTAAATAATTTTTATTTAATTAAATAATGCACTAAAGAACGTAGAATAATAACATGCAAAAAGCAGACAATTTACTCTAACAATTAATAATAAAGAAATGCGACAAGAGCCGTTAGAAATTCATCTAAGCTAGTTGTTGTTGTACCTGTGGGAACCAAATTTGTATTGCCAGTGAAACTGATGATTATCAGTCCAGAACACAATGTAATATAATACGTCATTTGATAGATGAAAACCTTAACTTTCTATTGGTTATAGGTATATATAGTTAAACGTAAAAGAGAACGATTAACAAATCCTGAAAGAGAGAATGTGACAGGAGGGGTCTGATTTTATACTTGATAGCTCTGTAACCAAACAAAATTGAAGGCTATGAAAATTATGGTTCATCTGAGCAATGATGATTTTATAATGAATTATTTACGTTTGATTTCGAGTTACTGAAGGGGTGGTGGATAAAATAGAGAAGACAAGATACCTAGAGAAAATGTGCCATGTTTGTCACACTAGGGGAAATTCAGGATTTTTTTAAATATTGCCTTATAGAAAGTCTTGTACTATTAAAATATCGATTATGAGCTAAGAATTTATGCTACACTAATTATATAACATAAGCAAAAAGTAGTTTAATAAAATTTTGAATGTAAGACACTAAAACCTTGTGTCATGAGCAGTAAAGGATACCTGTGGTAATAGGGTTAAAATACCAGTTTTTAGACATGTTTTATGATAACAGGAATTCAACATGCAGTACAATTTTAACAGTATAGGATTCAAATTGAATCATAAAAAAATTTAACTTTTGTTAATTTTTTTCTCAATTAATATATTTGTTTGATCTCTTGTACCTTGATAGTTATGGAAACATGTTTTTCATAATACCTAGTTAAGTTGAAAGGCTCTAGTATATTTGGCCAAGTAGGTTTTGTTTAATTTCTTCATTGAAAGGTGTCTGTTATGCTTAGTGCCACTTACTATATCATTAAGAATTGTTGAATATTAACTTCAAATCAAAGCAAACTACCAACCTAGATCATATAAGTATTGTAATTAAAAATCACCTTAGTTATGAATATAGCTAGTTAAAAAATACTATCCTTACTTTCTTACTTCTAAAGATTAGAATGCATTGTTTCTTCAGTTGGTTACCTGTTTTGTTTGCAATATTTTTGGCCATTATCCCAATAATAAATATCTCATGAGGATTAGCCAGTTTAGGAGATTCAGGTTAGTCCAAATCCAAATAGTCACTGTAGGTTTGCTATATTATTAATTCAGTGACTGTGGAAGTTACAATAACACTTGTATTTTTTTCAAGTCCGTTTTATTGACATCAAAAGTAATTATGACTTTTTTCAGATATAAATAACTATATAACTAATGATAATTCTTCTGTTCAAAAAATCAAAATTTTTGTTATGAACAGCCACTTTCACCAGGCCTGGAAGTTTTGGTTATCCATAGGTTGTGTAGTGAATATAGAGAATGTATTTGCACTGAGATGAACTATCAAAACATAACCCAATCATTAAACATGTAGTCTAAGGTAGATATTTTATTTTCATGTTTTTCTTATTTGATGTTTACAATAATTATGCAAACTTTAAGCATCAAAAAGAGAAATTCAGTAAGCTTGTGCTTATGTATGTGCTATTTGTGCTGAAAGCTCCTCTTAGATTACCTGAATAATAAAAGATTAATTAAATTGTTAAGTAAATAAGGTTGTGTAATTCTAATTAAGCAGAGTAATGCTTATTATGTGTGCATGCAAAATGTAAAATCTTTCCTAGTAATTGTTATTAAAATAGTAAATTTTGAAATTTATTTAAATAAAAAGCCTTTGCTGAATTAAAATTTTAAAATGTTTGAATATAGACAAATCTTTGATATTAGTTACAAAAATAATTGATTTGTTAGACAGACAAGCAAAGTGGAAAAATCAAATGTATGTACAGTAACATGCCAAGTTTCAAAGATATTCTGTGATTAGTTCCCAGTTTTTTGTCACATTAAATTTATTTTTTATTCTTCAAAGTATTTTGAATACATTTCTTCTAAATTTTTCTATTGCAGTTTGTAGTTATTATTCTTTCATTACTCCATATGAACAAATTAATAATAAAATAAATGATTTCTTTCCCATTTTCCAAGTACAAAACCATAAATTATTTGAACTGTTTTAATTATTTACTAGCTTTCTGAGAGCAGATGTTATTAGAAAAGTATATGAACATATTGACTTAATGTAATGTAAAAACAAATTAAAAGCAAACCCAAAGTATATTAGACATAAATCGGAACATAGTTTTTCACAGAGTTAACTCAGCAATCTTATTTGTTTTAGTTTATGTATAATAAAACTTGTTTCCGGATTTGATTTGTTTTTATATTCTATGACCCAAACTATTCCATTTTCAAAATTTCACTTTGAATATGTTTTATCCATATTAAATGAGATGGAATATGAAGTTAACAGGGTTGTGATTGACTTAGTTTTATGTACAGTATATGATTAATAATTTAGTGCTACAAAATGTGAATGGAATGGTTATGCTGTGTTTTGGATGAATATTTTAGTTTTGTGTATTCCATTACAAATGTTTGACTTACTGCAACAAATACGTGTACTTTTGTTTACTAAAGTTCATTATGAGAATGGTTTAATTTATTCTTTCTCGGTTGATATTTGTATTAAAATTTCTGGCCCATAGTATTTATTAGTTGTGTTTTCTTTTATCAGTTTCATTAACATTAATTACTGATATCTTTAAGCATTTAAAATAATTAAAATTACTGATAATTTTTTTCAGCTTTTCGTTCAGTACCTGTTTTGAAATCACAGAACATGTTGATTCTGCTGGTTCTAATTTAAGAATCAGGTATAGGATAGAAGCAGAAACCTTCATTTTTAAATACTATCGGGTAATTTTTAATTCATCTCGTGATTCAGAAACTCCAAATATTGTAGCTGATGATCTCACAGTTACAGTTGGGAAGACAAGGTGTAAGAAAGAAGTGGTCTACCTGAAGGTAAGCACTCTTGGTTGTGTTAACCTATTAATACCTAGTGACGTTGAGGGGTTATATTAATATATGTATGAAATTGTTTATCTTTAATATGTTGAACCATATAGCGCATTGAAAGTTTTACTGATATTTTGTTTTGCATTGTGTTGCAATAATTTGTTTTATAAAACCTCATCTTTTTGTTCTGGTAAAACAAAAAACTTATTTTTTTAATTCATAGCTAATTAAATGTAAAACTGCAAGTGTTTTAGAAATCTTTTGTTTTACTTTATCTATTTTCTACAAGCCCCCCACAGTGGCACAGCAGTATGTCTGCAGACTTATAATGCTAGAAACCGGGTTTGATACCCGTGGTGGGTAGAGCATGGCTTTACTTGTAACTTAAAAATTTCTCTCATTCATGTGTTCATTTTGGCAGAATAAAACATAATTTTTTGAGAACTCATGAAGGTAAAAAAAAAAAAGTAATATATATATTAATTATTAAACAAATAATAAGGAAAAAGAGTAATATTATGAGGTATCAAGTTTTAACTATACTTAGTATTGTGAATATTTTGACATTTTTCAATTTTTTAATGCAGGAGAAATCAGATATCCAGACTCCTATCCTGTTCAAGTTAGTGTACTTGCTTGTCCAGAAGGATCCTCCTATGATAGAGGAAGGAGAAGAGTTGCCTGATTTGAATAACTACCCAATTCTCAATCAGCAGGAAGCATCAAAGACTTTTGAGGTAACAGAAACAACAATAAGCTTGCTAGTTTATATACACAAATATGTAGACACACATTTGTACAAAAATGTGGAGTGAGGATGTAGTATTAAGGTTCACTGATGTCTAACAGAAAAGCCAATAGCTCGCACAAAATTTCAGGTTCTAGACTGTTAACTGAAGATTAAATTGAATGTGGGATAGTAAAGGAGAAAAAAGCAAACACAAATGTAGTTTAAAACAAAAATTTTTTATTTGCACAGAAACACAGTATTTGGTTACCTAAGCTAGCCAATCTTTTTCCTTCTCATCTGGCTGCTGGGGTTAAGGGCTACAAAACAAGAGGTGATGATTAAGAGAAATCAAGAGCAAGGGCTAAATCAAAAGACAAACTTTGAAAATACCTGGCTTATATACCAGAGTGAAACAAAGAAAGTCAAGTATTTCATAAGTTCATTGGTTACATACTTCAACTAAGAGTCTCCACACAATCCTAAACCAAGCCAGGTGTACAGGCTTCTGTATTTCCCTTTAAATAGGCTACTTTCCAAGAAATTGTGTAGAAACACATACATGCCAGCTTAAGACTTAAGGACAAAGTTTGCAGTATGTAGCTTTTATCTTTGTAAAAAGACTAGCACATGTTTATGACCTTGAGACATTGCTCAAGGAGAATGTTGTGACTACATGCAAGAACTAAAAGCATGGAAGTTTAAAAAATATTACATGAAGATATCTGGGTAGAGATATAATACATACTAATTATGTAAGGGTGAAGTTCATGACTATGTCAGTCCTTACAAAGACAATCCTCTTAGATACAATAGTAATTTAACATAACTAAATGAAACTTTGGAAAAAAACAAAGAAAAAGATTGTATCAAATGTAATACCTTATTGAGTGAGAAGATGTCCTCGATTTATTGATGGTAATGTTAAAAAAGCCCTCAATTTACACATTTCACAAAAGAACAGGCCAACAGAGAAATAAATATTCAAGTTGGTTTCTTTTGGCAAATTAATGTATGCTAAAGTGTATTTAATTTCCATTATCAGTAAATCAGTTAAAAAAATAACTTTGGTGAATAGCAAAACTTTCATAAACTTGTGCTTGTAAAGAATAAAACCAAGTTAAAATTTTACTGTTATTTTAACTTAAGAAACTGAAACTAATGGATATACAGTATTTTAATATAACATGATAATAGCAATAACTAAACACCTGTGATATGAAGAGCATATATTTTAGTGTAGTCAGATGAAAATTTCTCATTACCAAGATTCTTAAAATTTTTTCATACATCTTTTGGCTTACATGTTGACCAAGGAATATGGCTAGACTGCTTTTGCTGTAGTTATGTATTGTTATGGATCATTCCTCTTAGGCCCGGCATGGCCAGGTGGTTAGGACGCTCGACTCGCAATCTGCGGGTCGCGGGTTTGCATCCACGTCCCACCAAACATGCTCACCCTTTCAGCCGTAGTGGCATTACAATGTGACGGTCAATTCCACTATTCATTGGTAAAAGAGTAGCCCAAGAGTTGGCGGTGGGTGGTGATGACTAGCTGCCTTCCCTCTAGTCTTACACTGCTAAATTAGGGACGGCTAGCACAGATAGCCCTCCTGAAGCTTTGCGCGAAATTCAAAAACAAACAATCATTCCTCTTTGGTGTTATATATTTTCTTCTATGAAAATTTTTTGTATAGCAGAATACACTATGTAGAAATTGGACAGTAATCTTTTGCATTGGCATGTCAGGTAATACCTTGTGTATATCACCTCTTAAATACTGTTGGAATGACTAAAAATAGCATAAATAGTGAATGTGCACTGAGAGTGATTATACTTTATAATTTGATATATAGTGCTATGCTCTCTTTGTCTGGAATATGATTCTTCAGGTCTTTCAGTTTCTACATTTAGTATAAGTTCAGTTTCTCGTCTTATGCACTCCTCACATTCTGACAGTTTTTTTTGTGTTGTTTTACATTGTATGTTCAGTTACTGTTTTGCTTCAAACTCAGTCAGAGTCAGATAATATTCAGTTTATTTCATTAATAAATTGCCTGTCAAATGTCAAGTTATTTGTGGATGCTATTAATTGTGAGTGAGAATTTGTAAATCTGGGGTTACCACAAACCTAACACAACCCAAGTAAATACCATACTATAATACCACTAAAATAATGATTGTTTTTTCTTCCATATACTCTGAATAAAACAGTTTATGTAATTGGACTACTACGTAACACTGAATAAATAAAAAGGTGCCAAGCTTAACGAAAGCTATTGCACCTAATTTTTTCTTAAGGTTTGATAGAAATGCTGGAGAATTGTAATAGTCAAATAAATTACAATATTCATTATATGTAAAACACAATACTTTGTTCAAATATTTTAACTTTTTTTTTTTTGTTAAAATCCAGTGAAATAAATCCAACATCAGAAGTGGCCAAGTAAAGGCTTATCTAATCAAAATCACATGTGGCTTATATTTAGACCAAATTTGACAACTAATTGTAGATTATTAAGATATATAAGTGTATCAAATTTGAAAAGAATCCATAAAGGTTAAGTATGTTTTTCTATCAAATAAAGTTTCCATACTTTCGATGCAAAGAAAAAAAATGGAAAAAGTTCAATCAAAATTGGAGATTTTATATCTCGTGTATTTCTTAATTGATTGCCTTGAAATTTGTTATGTGGAGTAAGGGTCCAGTAGAGTACATCCACTGAAAATATATGGTAGTTTGGATTACCACAGTCCGAGCTACAGAAAGTGAAAAATCACAAAAATATCACTCCTGTTAATAACATAAATTGTGTCCTGCAGGTTGTTTTGGCCACATGACAAAGTACCGTGTGTCTTGATATTGAGCTTAATAGAGATTTTGGTATGATGTATTAGACTACTGAAAGGGATGTTGGTTTTAACTACCTAGTTCAGCGTGTTACTAACCATAATAATTCATTAGTCAGGTATTTGTTATTCCTTTGTATAGTGAGGGAAAAGAATGATTTTGTTATGGAACAATGCAAACAAAAGGCACTCTCAGAAGTACTGTTGAAATTTGTATTTACAGAAATGGAGACTTGTATTTTTAAAACATAGTTCTTATAACAGTACTGACATGTACATGGTATGGTTTGATTCAAGTCAACATATCAATTTATTTGGATGTGATAGTTAATCATTTCTTTGTAAATTCTGCACTTGCTTTTATAAAGAAATGTGAATACTAGTTTTTTTTGATAATTATATGCATGTTTTAATTGTGTTTTATTCACCAAAGTAAACTTAATTTATATAGGTATTTGAAGAATATGTAGTACTGATGATACCAGTTTCTTCTGATTTATTCAGCAAATAAGCTATTCAATGTTCTTGATAATTCAGTGATGAGTGGTGAATTGAGCAATAGATAGCACTTCGTGTTTAGTTTTTATCTGATAATTTTACATGTCTGTGTAATTTTCATATTATATTAATTAGTTATTATGTTTATAATATTTTTCTATACACAGAAGATTAGCTCATATTCTGAAAGTTTCATAGAACATTTTACCTATGTATTATTTGTTTATTGTAGCATTTCTTTGCATTAATCTCTATTTCTGGATAATTTTTGAAAAACAGTGGAAAAGTGTATTGTGTTATAAATATATTTTGTTATTAAAAGAAACTATGTTTTAGCTTGAATTATGTGAAAAATTATATTTTATAATTAATTAAAATAAATAGAGCTAAGAGAAGTAAACCTAAATCTTTCCAATGTTACAGCCAGTGGCAGATAAATTTGACATTGGAGAAAAACAGTATAATACATGGAGTTGGTTCTTTCAACATTCATGCACATTATCTTGTTACTAATGGTATAATTATTCAAAATATTATTCTTGTCTTTACTATGTGTAATATTATTTTCCCAGTGTTTCAACCAGTGAATTCTCCAGCCATCATCAAGTCTTATATCAGACTTTTTATTTGTACATTTCACAACCAGAAAGCTTTTTTTGTGGTTGATTTGTTTGGTCACATGATAATACATGAAGGAAGACAAAAGGGTGAAGAAGAACCACATATAAAAACTGGAGAAACTCATGAACCGAGCAACCACTGAGCCAACATATCAACAAATAAAGGCAGTGGTAAACCTGAGTGACAACCAACTGACATTGTATGAAGAGGCAGTACTCAACAAAGTGCTAAATTTCACAACCACCATTAAACGAATCAACCACCTCGACATAATAGCTCACACAGAAGAGACAGCAATGCGGTTGGGGAGAGAAGAAGGGGAATAACTATGCTGGAAAGTCAGAAAGCACTAGATAAGGCAAAACCTCCAAAGATGAATCTGTCCAGAGAAGAGTAAGCAGCTATCAAGATGCTCAGGAATGATGACAAAGTCATCATACCCCTAGCTGACAAAGGAAATGCCTCTGTTGTCATGAACAAGGAGGAGTACACTTACAAGCTCAACAACCTAGTGAGTGATGGGACATACACAAAACTGCAGAGAGACCCTACATTTGTGACCAAATGAAAAATGTCCAAGATCCTGAAAAAGAACAAGGATAAAGGATACTTGACTGATACACAATATGGACAGTTGAATCAACATTACAGCAAACTACCACACATGTACGGCCTACCAAAAATACACAAGACTGGCATACCACTAAGACCAATTGTCAGCTGCTGGGTCTCAGCTTTATCACCCATTAGGCCAATTCCTGGTCAAGATAATCAGTCATCCTCTTATGTGAAGAACTCCACCCACATTGTCTCCTTGATCAAGGATATGCCAATAACACCTGGCATACAAATAGTTAGCTTCAACTTTGTGAGCCTGTTCACCAATGTTCCAACAGTCGAGGTTTAAATCATTGTGAGGAACAAACTGGAAATGGATGACACATTACTAGAAAGAACATACATCTCAACCGATAACATCATGGAGTTGCTCATGTTCTGTGTAACTACCCCAGCACAGCTACATGGTGTGTATTATCAGTAGGAGGAAGGGATGGCTATGGGCATGCCATTGTCATCTATGATTGCCAACACCTATATGGAATACTTCAAGGATCTAGCATTGGAAGCTGCACCTCTCGTACCAGCAGTGTGGCTTTGATACATTGATGACATGTTCGTCCTATGGCAACATCAAGAGGACGTAACATCATTCCTTGACCATATCAACAGTCTTCAACTATCAATCCAGTTCACCATGGAACAACAACATACTACTGTTCCTAGATGAGCAAGTGGAAAGAGATGCAACTGATTTCAAGGTATCTGTGTACTATAAACCAACAGCCACCAGTCGCTACCTCAATGTTCTTTTTTCTTATGGCAAGCTATAGTAATGCTGTACAATGTGTAACAAGACATCATAAAAGCTACATTGGTACTTGGCTAATATTGCTATACCATGGACATTTGTGACAGTTGTTAACATTTTGGCTGGCTAGTTGGTATTGGATGGTAATAAAGAATCCCATGATCTACAGCAGAAGACAAAAAGGGCCAAGGACAAATTGGATTAACAGGAAAATGGAAAGGAGTCATTATAACATTCAATCGAGGACTGGCGCCATTAAATCCCAGCAAAGGTTCAACATTCAGTGACACAAATATAGTTAAGTAGATGAGTTAAGGCTTTTTTCAAAATCATTATTCATTGTGTTGGCCCATTACCAAAAACAAAGTTGGGAAATGAGTATCTATTGGTTATTGTGTGTGCTTCCACCAGATTTCCCAAAACCATTCCATTAAGAAATATTAGTGCACTCAATATTTTCAAGGCTTTGGTCAAGTTCTTTACCTTAGTTGATCGTCCAAAAGAGGTGCAGTCTGATCAAGGGTTGAATTTTATGTCTAGTCTTTTTCAACAAGTCGTACACAAATTGAGAGCCAAACAGATTGTCTAGTGCATATCACTCAGAGTCTCAGAGAGCTCTGGAACTATTTTAATCCACTTTGAAGACTATGATTAAGACATAATGTCATGGGAACGAATGGGATGAGGGTATTCCTTTCTTGTTGTTTGCTGCCTGGGAGTAGGTACAGGAATCCCCTAGTTTCAGTACATTTGATTTATTGTATTTGGTCTTACAATAAGGAGTCCTCTGAAGTTAATTAAGGAAATCTGGTTGAGTGAGGAGCCAGAGAGTCTGAATTTGCTGGATTATGTCTCCAAGTTTAGAGTAAGGCTCAGTAGGGTATGTGAGTTAACTCATGAAAACCTCAAGTTAGCACAAGGTGAAATGAAAAGTTGGTACGACAAAAATGCAAAAGAACGGTCATTTAAGCCAGATGATAAAGTCCTTGTGTTACTACCAATCAGAGGTCACCCTTTGCAGGCAAAGTTTCATGGCCCAGGTCAGGTGGTAAGAAAGTGAGTGATCTTGATTATGTGAGTGAAACACCTGATCATAGAAAATCCACTCAGTTGTGTCATATTAATATGCTGAAACTATACTGTGATCGTAATGAGTCATCTGTTGTTACAAGTGTCAATGATATGTACGACACCAATAATTGTGACCAAAATGATGTTACTGTCACTGAAAATGTTATTGAAGACAAAAATGTTGTGAAGGTTAAACTTAGTAATTCAGAAATCTTAGCAAATCATGATATAAAATTGGGACACTTGAGTCCAATTGAAAAAGAACAGTTATCAAGTTTGTTTGTAAAATATAAACAATTGTTTCCTGATGTTCCAAATAGGACAAATATGTTGTTTCATGATGTTGATGTTTCCCAACCTATAAAGCAACATCCATACAGGGTCACACCTGAAAAAGCACAGGAAATGAAAAGTGTAATTGAGTACATGCTAAAAATTGACATTATACAACTGAGTCAAAGTAACTGAAGTTCACCTTATGTTCTTGTGTCCAAACCAGATGGTTTTTATGATTACAAGGTTATGCCTGTTGGCATGAAAAATGCAATAGCCACATTTGCCCATTTAATGAGTCAAGGTATTCATGGTTTGTAAGGTGTGAAAGTTTACATTGATGACTTGATTGTATATAGTAATACCTGGGATGAACATCTTCAAAGACTTGACAAAATGTTTGTGAGACTTGCCCAGACAAATCTGACTGTAAACCTTGCAAAAAGTGAGCTTGGACATGCCAAGGTGGTGTGTTTGGGTCATATGGTTGGTCGAGGTGATGCGGAACCTGTGAAAGCTAAAATTGAAGCTATTATAGATTTTACAACACCAAAAACTGTAAGATCACTTAAGAGATTTCTTGGCATGGCTGGTTATTATTGGAAATTTTGTAAGAAGTTTTCTGAGATTGGAGTTCCACTCATCAACTTGACTAAAAAGAAACAAAAGTTTGTTTGGAATCCAGAATGTGAAAGCATTGTTATCATATGCTCCACTGTTGAAGGCACTAGATTTTTTTTAGATGGTTCAAGTTGATGCCAGCGATCTTGGTATGGGTGCTGTTCTGTTGCAGGATGGGGACGATGGTATTGAACATCCTGTTTGTTATTTTTCTAAAAAGTTCAACTGTCACCAAAAGAATTATTCCACCATTGAGAAGGAATTTTTAGCCTTGCACATATGGATCATAATCCATTAACATTTTTGAGTAAGTTAAGGAACAAAAGTTATTAAATTGGAGCTTGGTGGAATATAATTTGGATATTAAACATATTAAAGGTAAATATAATGTAATTGCTGATGCTCTTTCTAGAAACATGTAGAGTAGTAGTTACATATAAATATATGTATTTTCTTTATGTGTTTGGAGTGAATATGATATACATGTTGTATATGTATTGTGTAAAATGTTTTTCATTGAAGTAGAATAATGACGTATAAAGGTTCAAAGTTTATCATGTTACATTATGTGCACTTGAATGGCAATTTTTTTTGTTAGTAGAGGAGGTGTTACATGTATGGAAATTTTAGTGGCTCCCACCCCCTCGCTAAGTGATATGTATTAATAATGATTAAGATTTGTTTATATCACTGGGGTTGACCAATAATAATCAGTTATGAGGAATTATGCAAGGTGCATCGTGAGTTTTAGAATGTGCTGGTGTTTCTATGGATGCCTATAAATAGTGAGGTTGCATTGTACACAGGGATTTTTTTTTTAACTTTGTTCTTTTGGCAAGCTATAGTAATGCTGTATAAAGTATAATGAGACATCTGAAAAGCTACATTTGTGACAATTGTTAACTTTTTGACTGGCTAGTTAGTATTGGATGGTAATAAAGAATCTCATGATCTACGGAAGAAGATGAAAAGAACCAAGGACAAATTGGATTAACTGTAAAACAGAAAGGATCAGGGAAAGGAATCACTATAAAATTCAATCAGGGACTGGCACCTTTAAACCCCAGCAAAGGTTCAACACCCATGACACAAATGTAGTTAAGTAGATGAATTAAGGTTTTTTTTTATATAAATATTTTATTTGTACACTAGTGTATTGTAAAGTAAGTGTAATTTTCTTCTTTGTTATCCATTAAAGTTTATTCAAAAGTAACATAACTTTGTCTTTCATTTGTTGCCTGTGTCACTGCATCCGCTGCACAATTCCATACGTAACACCTGTCTCTCTTTTTGGAGTTCAAGCTCTCAGTTTGGTAACCAAAATTTAATTTATTTCTATAAATAATAATAATACTATTCAATCATATAATGTTAACTAATTTCTAATCAACATCATTTTAGTTGTTTGGCCAGTTTAGAGAAGTGACTGTAAAAAAAAATAAAAGGCATGGTTCCTCATCTTGTACACACATTATTTTGACTGCTTTCGAATTTTCATAAAGATTTTTTCATTGTGATTTTGTATATTTGTGTCCGATTCATTCTCAAACTCAGTCAAAGTTGGACACCTCAGAAGTACTTCATAATAAATATCTTATTTCACCTAAATATATTACATATCTATGTTTAAAGTGTTTTAGGTTACTAAAGAATTACTCGGATAATTTTCATCAAAATTAATTAGTTGTTGCTGCTACCTACATTTTATCATTTTTAATATAAACATCTTCAACTTAGCCAGCATTGACTTCAATCACCACTTGGTATTTTGTTGAAAGTTCCATTATACAGGTTGGTAAGATAGCAGAATATATTTGTAATGAGATTTCTGATGTATACATACATACGTATATACACGTGTGTGTGTGTGTGTCTTTATATGTGTTGTTTTAACACTTTTACTTTGCAGCATTCTTCTACAAAATTTTTAATCTTATTAAGAAAGTGAAATTATTCAAAATTGGAAGGATATAGTAAGATATATAAAACTTGACATATTGTCTCTATGCTATAGCTTTATTTATATAAAGATTCTTTTAGCATCATTTTGAATATTCAAATGATTATGTAGAGTATGTTTGGATGAGAAAAAATTATTTGTTGCAGTTGGTGAATAAACATACATAATACAGATGTTAAATCTGAAAATTATTAGTTTCAATAAAAGTATAAGATTATAACTGACAATGAAAGCTGTTTCTGTTGAATAACTCAGACTCATTTTTTTGTGTTAGGCTACTTTTCTGAAGGATTGTGGAGCAGATGAAATATGCCAGAGTAACCTTGACCTTGCAACTAAGTTTGAACTACCAAGGCCACCAGGGTAAATAATTTTCACACTAATAATATAATTATTAGCATTTCTATATAAATACATAGTGATATCTTTCTATATAGTATGGTACCATTATTATTATTATTAAAATTACTGTAAGTAGTTTTTAAGGGCAAGTGAAAATAAGTAAGTAATTTTGACAGCACTTTTTTATTCACAGCATGTGAGAAAAATGTTCGTTTGTGTACTTATACTGTTGCTTTGGAATTTGGTTTTTCAATAAAAGCCTTTTAGCAACTAAAGTTCTTTAATATCATGTTTATAAATAACTAAATTTTGAGTTATGTAATTCTTTCTGGACAAATAAAATCCTTAAGATATGTTCAAATCAGTTGCAATTTGTGTGTCATCTCTATCTTGTAGTTTTAAATTGCCTATTGTCTTCTCCATCTTGTAATTCAGTTGATCATGTTTCTTCAATCTTGTAATTTTCACCTGTACATGTTTACTCTTTCTTGTAATTTTCAGCTGTACATGTTTACTCTTTCTTATTCTTTTCTGTTGTCCACTGTCTTCTGAATCTTGTAATTTTTAGTTGCTCAGATTCTTCTCTATTTTGTAATTTTTAGTTGCTCAGTGTCTTCTCGAGGTATCTTTTAATCCTAAATTTCTAAGTGTGTCTCCTCCATCTTGTAATTTTAAGTTGCCCAGTTTCTACTCCATCTTGTAATTTTCACTTGCACAATGTTTCTTCCATATTGTAATTGTAAGTTGCCCAGTGTCTCCTACATCTTGTAATTTTTAGTTACCCAATGTCTCTTCCATTTTATAATATTCAGTTACCCAGTGTCTTCTCCATTTTATAATATTCAGTTACCCAGTGTCTCCTGCATCTTGTAATTTTCAGTTACCCAGGGTCTTCTTGAGGTATCTTGTAATTTTCAGTTGCTCAGTCCCTTCTCTGTCTTTAACAATTATTTTCAATTCAAAATTATCTTCTTAGTATGTTGCCATTTATTGGATTTTGAAAGTGACAATTCATGCAGTAGATGACCTAATTAGAAGTACAGCTTTAACTAAACTGATAAATAATTTGTTTTTTTAATAATTTATTCATAGTGCTAAATACCATCATAAGCTATACTTGGGAGAGCAGCTTCTAAACATCTCAGTAAAAGCTAAGAACAGGGGAGAACCAGCATATGATGCAGCTTTTTTTATTTCTCATCCAAGTAGCATAAGCTATGTGAATCATATCACGGTCAGTAGTAGTAGTGAGTTTATGTATATATTTGTTGTGTGTATTTTGAAACAATCTCATATGTCTGTGTAAAAGGGGATAAAATTAATTAGAACTTATTGAAGTATCTCCTTGTGTTGTGTTTAGAGACAAATTAAATCTGAAATTCAAAAAAAAGAAACTGGTTGTTTGGAAAAAAAAAGTAAACCTCACAAACTTAGGTGTGAGACCTGCTATTCTGTCAAACAAATAATGCAATGTTTGTTAAATTTCCATAAATTTCGAATAATTATTTTATATTGAATGACCTGATATTTTTGGAAATAGCTAAGTGACTCTTTTTTATTTAGATGTCGTAGTAGATATATGGTAGATATCAAATGGAAAATTTTCACATTTATAGATGCAAGTGTTTTAGAAGTAAATACGTTTTGAATTTAGCAAATTTTACCTATAAAGTAGTTGTACAGTGATTTATTGTCATGATTCAAATCTGATAGATATAAGTTTTTATAATTGTTATTTATATTATGAATTTGTGCTGAACACCTGATTTTTACAGATAGCGAATGAGTTAAACATCGAATGTAACCCAATTACAGAGACATTATTAAAATGCATTTTGGGCAACCCATTTATCTTGCCAGAAGTAAGTTCTTTTTATATATCAGTGAATATTTATTTAATACTTGCTTACCATTAAAAATTTAATTTGTAATATTAAAATTATGAAGAAAAAACAGTTTTTAAAACAACAAAAATATTTTAGTTCTGCATTTTGTTTTATTGAAGAAAGCTGTTTGACAATGTGTATTATAACTTTTAGTCTATATTTACACAAACACAAACATGTTCTTCTAAAAACTCAGTGTCAAAAAAGTATCTTGGAGCAATAAAGAATCATTATTACTCAAATGCAGAGGAATAATTTTATTCAAATATTTTTGAAAATGATATAAATCTTATTGATATTTATTATGAAGTACTGTAGACATAGTATCTGCAGAGTTGCACATACATAAAAGTGGCTGGAAAACTATAATTCCCAAGAAAGGTTGGGAAAAATGTTTTTGAGAGTGACAACTATGTATTTAATCCATGTATACTTCAAGAAGTTCAACTGGTCATTAAATGAATTTTATGTGTACTTATAAGTGCATGAAAAAATCTAGATCTGAATAATTTTGGACTTAGTTTGTTAAAAGAAATGTTTGAACCTTTATATATATATATAAACAAATTAGATATTTGTTAGCTTTTATAACATCAGGGTACAATTGTATCTTTTATACCTAAAAATAAATGAATATAAGCCCAAATAATATTGTGTAATTTGGATGCAATACCCTGAAAAAAATATATTAATTTTTCAGGTTGAAGTTCAAGTTAAATTTGATATTCGAAGGGTTGAAGATTATGAAAGCAGCTTGGAATTTGATTTTGAAGTAAACACGTAAGTCAACCAGTTACTTGATTTTCCTTATACAAAACTATTACTTATGAAAATTAACATTCATTAAGTTTCTATATCATTAATCAACAAAACGTATATGTGGTTGAATTTTAAATCATATTTCTATTGCAATATTCAGGTCTTTCTCTTTACTTATATTGCTTTTGGTTTGAAACTTCTTTACTAATAAATAATTTTACTATGACCACAAACTCTCTAGTTCACAGTTATTGTTGAATCTATGCACTTTAGGCTCTTTTTCTATCTGTGTCCAAGGTATCGTGAAACAAAGCTGTTTCACAAGTTTTTAGACAATTTGTCAAAATTGTAACTTTATATTGTGGAATATATTAGTTTCTTCATGTAGTTCATTTATCGAAACTTCACCAATTTCTAGACATACACTTTACTGCATCATATATTAATTTCAAACTGGCTTATTTAATTAGCTTCTTGTTTGTGGGACATAAAACCTTTTTGATGAAACTTTTTCTAATTTATTTTGTGATGAAAAATTTAAATGTAATGTAAAACTGAAAAGCAAAAGTAACATTGGAGATGGCACTATACTGTATTTGTAGGTCTTTCAGAACAGCATTTCATTTTACGTTGTCATGGAAGTGTGTGTGTGATGCATTAAGTCTCATTCATCCATGACCACCAAAAGTGTCAAAATATCCTTGATAAATATGACTTTAAAAAAACAAACAAACTGAAATCATATTTCACGTAGCATATTTGTCACATTTGAGTTGTCTTTAAAATTAAGGTACTTTATCTTGTCATTTCTACTTTTTATCTGGTATACACTGGGTGAAACTGGTTACTTGACCATGACAACACCACAGTCAAGTATTGTTTTTTGCCATATTTAACTATAACCTTTATTGAAAGACCTTCTTGTAGATCATATTTTGTTGGCTAGTGAGACTCCAAGCATAACTACTCATTATTTCTTTCATTACTGTTCAAGTAATTCTAATCATGAAACGTACCAATGTATGAACACTTTTATAAACCCCTCATCACAAAGTATATCTGTGTATTTAACATATTTTAGATCTGTCACTAACAGAAATTAACACCTTGAGAAATTTATCAAATCCATTTCATTGTCATTTACATAATTTGTCCACTCTGTCAGAAGTTAAATATCAACTGGGAATGCTTCTCTGTCCAAAAATAATCAGTTCAAGCTTTATTTCCAAGTATTCTGTCTCATCTGAATTTTCAAACTTAACCATTTCTGCTAGTCTTCAAGCATCTACAGTAGTGTTTTTTAAGTATTTCATTCATGATTGCTTTTATGTGTAACACAAAACAAAATTGCTTTTCAAAAAGTACGATCAGTTTCTTTAAATGTTCTACATGCTGTTCAAATTCTGTTTTTTCAATGAAAAAATCACTATATGTATATATAACAAAACCTCTTTAATGCAAAGTAATTTTTTTGGTAAACCTAACAGTGGTCAGACCTGTGATATCAAGGACATCACTAATGTCATAAAAGATGAAATAAACTGCATCAAAGAAATTTATTTAATGTACTTCTGAATGTTTGTGATTTAATAGTTATCTTTTAGTACCTTCTCTTTTTTCTTTAATAAAAATTGCTATCCTAAAGTTGCTCCATTGTTTACCTTTCACATTATAGCAGCTTCAAATGTACATTTCATTATTCATTTTACTTTGTGCATTATTTGTAAAAACAATGGCATTTTTGAAAGTACTGGTTTTAATTCAGTGTAGATCTTATAAGCTTGCTCATTCCATGTGTTATGTGAAGTTCAGAAAAGTGAAGCAAATACTGAGGATTTAAATACACACAAATTATTTTAGTGTTATATCTATTATTGTTTTTAAATAACAATAATGTCTCTTCAAAAATTAAAAGTTTTTAGTAAAAGATAAAAAAGCTGATTACTGACATATAATGTGTTGACTTTTAAAGGCTGAGATAAGCAAATTTTTTACGTGTCATGTTAGGTGTGAATAAAAATAATTTTTTGTCGTCTACTCCACAAAAGGTGCTTTCATTGGTTTTTGATGTTGCAAATTTATTTAGAGTCATAAAATGTATTTTAATTGCTCTTGATATGTTCTAAGTTAGGTAAAACACACACTTAGCTATTTTTAAATTTTGTTAAGATCTGAAACAAGAAAAATGAACTTGTTATATTCCCAACAAAAAAACCTTGACAGAAAAAAATATTAATATTAGCAAATATTACTCAAGCTGAGTTTAATTATTGTAGTGAGCACTGTCTCACATTGGTCATAAATACATTTATGGTGAATTACTGTCACTAATGTAAAGTGTGTGATTTGATTTTAAAAAATATTTTCAAACCTCTAACCAAACGTTAACTATTTTTTACTCAAAATGTGAACTTCTTTTGTTGTGTTATTGAAAAATGCTGCATTAGATCATCTTGGTCAAAATTAGCTTTATTAAACAATAGGATATTAACAATTGTTCTATGGAAGAGCCGTGTTTTTTAATTTTTTAAAACATGATTAAGTATTAGGTCTGTTTACTGTAATATATTATTAACACTGGTACTTTACTATATGGTATTAACACTAGTACTGTAAAATATGTTATTAACACTGATACTGTACAATATGTTATTAACACTTGTACTGTACAATATGTTATTAACACTGCCACTTTACAATGTGTTACTAACACTGGTACTGTACAGTATGTTATTAACACTGCCACTTTACAGTATGTTATTAACGCTGACACTGTACAATATGGAATTAACTGGTACTGTACAATATGTTATTAACACTGGCACTGTACAATATGGTATTAACACTGGCACTGTACGATGTTATTGATACTGGCACTGTACAATATGGTATTAACACTGGCACTGTACAATGTTATTGATACTGGCACTGTACAATATGGTATTAACACTGGCACTGTACAGTGTTATTGATACTGGCACTGTACAGTATGGTATTAACACTGGTTACTTCTAACTTTTAAAAAGGTGATTCAGTAATAGTTTTGTGTACCATAATGTGGTGCTAATACTGATTATGGTAAAGTAAGTTATTTGTAATGATTCTGTTTGATTTATGAGGCACTGTTAATAATTAATATGTTTATGTTTTACTGATAGTATGTGCATGTTATTTAAAGGTACAGAATTAGAATCTTATTCAAGCAGTTGTAAGTTTTAAGATACTCTATATGACTTTTAAATGTTATGCTGTTTTTGATTGGTCTAGCTGTGTAACTATTCAGTACTATGTATTATCTTAAACTTTTATATTATGTAAGAGTTGAAATTTCATATTTCTGAACTGTGGTCTGCTAGATTGTATGAGCATGGGTTAAGACAAAAAGTTTTTTGATTTGTAAACTAATTAATTGAGTATCTTGTTTCATGTCTTTCAAATTATTTTGGTTTTTAAAGTTGTGTGGTTTTGGGGGTTTGTTATTGTCTTAGTGTGAATATCTTTCATGGCCCATGAAAAATCAAAATTTTTAAGTATTTGTAATTGTGTAATTTGTAACACAATATTCTTCTTTGTTGAATAGATATGTGCTTGTTTTATTACTAATTCAATAACTTTGTTTTGCCTATCAAACATTTTTTCTTCTCTTTAAACACTGTCATAGCTGAAACCTTGATTATTGAATTGGGAAACTGTGTTAAGCCTACATTCAAGACAACTAGTCAAAAAGTATTGGTTATATGTTTACATCAACTATATTTCAGTTTAATTATTTTGTAATCATAAGTAATGGAAATGTATGTGTATACTGTGATGAAAAAATAACCAAATGAAAATGTTTATAATAATGCTTAGAAAAAGTTCTAGCTTTATTAATAGAAAAACTTATTTGTATTAATATTATTGTAATCCTTTTTTTGATATTTATATATTACAGTACGAGTTTGAACTTAGGAAAGCAAACAATGTTTAATACTGTGCTTGATATTGTACGGGTTGCCGAACTGAAGTTGCGTGGGTAAGATTAAGCTAATATTTTAAATTTTCATATTGTTCAGTGGATTTGTTATGCTGTATGATCTTTGATATTTTGCATTTTGTTATAGATTTTATCAGAAAATCTCTTATCTAAACAAGAGTATTTGCATAAAAGCATGTGCTTTAGAAAATATTAAAATGAGTAAAAAAAAGCAAATTGAAATGAACTCTTTGAAGAGAAAATATCATAAATTTACTGCTGCTTTCCAAATAATGTATTTTTTATGGAAGATGAAAAGCTTTACTTTGATGTATTTTATATTTAAAATTTGTTTATATTTAAGTGCAAAATTGCACCATGAGCTATTGATGCTGTGACCATCAGGTTTATTGAACTCAGATTTTTCATGTTATAAACTCTCAAGCTTACAGACGAACCTTTGGGGTCTAACATAGAGTTACTGACTTGGCTTGCAGCTGTGTGTCTTATGAGGAAGCTATGTAGTGTATATTATTATAAATATCTAAGGTATTATAGTGTGCAAATACTACACATTTTACTCTCTCTTAGTATATATTTATTATTTCCAAAATTCACAATTTTCTCTAAGTTCTGATTCTGGAATTTTTAATAACTCTGTTAGAGGTCACATTATCAATTCAACCTGAAGTGTTACTCTTGGGGGCTTGACCAATCAAGGAACTTATCTACTGTTTTGTTGGATATTTACATTATATAATATAGCTAAAATTTGTCTGGTTATAAAATTTTAGAATTGCTCAACCAGAACAAGTATTATATGGTGGTGAAATTAAAGGAGAGACCGCAATGAAGTCTGAAGATGATATTGGTAGCCCCGTCTTTCACACCTATGAGGCATGTATTATCATGTGAATTTGTTTGTTTAATCTAGCGGTTGGAAATTCTGACAGTTATTGAAATTTTTCAAGATGAGTACATAATAATGATATTTGCAGGAAAAATGTCACAATTGTTTTGTTTTTTAATGACGGTACATTCTGTTGGATTTATTCATAGAACACAGTATCTATGCCAAATAATCATAATGATAGTACTTTTGGTTTGTGGTAACCAGTTCTCTTAATATTTGAGTACAAGGGGTATAAGCTAGAAAAATTATCTTTGACAGACAATCAAACACTATGTTATTTAACTAACACTAGTTAATAGCTTTATGACAAGCTTTTGTGAATGAAGCAGAAAAATTCATCTTTAATTATGACATATAGAAACAATCTATTCTTTTAATGTATCATTAGATAATTTAATACCTGAAAAACCTATTGTGAGATCAATTTGGATGAAATAAGTATGCTGTTATAATACTTTAAGTGTGTGTTTGTGTGTGGTTATCCCCCTATCAGCCATATTTTTTTTTCTTAATACACATAAGAGCTCGGTAAAATAGTATTATTTGATCATAAAAAACTAACTTGTTCCTAATTACAAATATTATATGAATTCTGTTTTATCGTAATTAACTGTAAGGAGTTATATTGTAAAAATGAATTATCACAAGATAAACTGGTGCCCAATGTGAGGTATTGTTTGTGATAATGGAGAATATGGTACTTTGAGTTAGGTGTTAAAAAGTGCCTTACAAGCAGTTACTAGTGGGCTTGACCTTTTAGCTTAGTAAATCACTCACCTGGTGTTTACTGGTCTCATCAAGTTATATTGGGTAAAAGTTAGTTTCCACAGCAACAGTTAAACATTGGATTCAGTGATTCTGTTGTGTTTAATGAGAGAGAGCTCTGTGAGTCATGTAAGAGTTATAAATTTAAGGGGTCTATTACAGATTGGGGCTAGAGAGTATACTGAGAAATTGGTTGCTGTAGCTCTGAGAAGACAGAATATTATGAATTTTCTGTAAAAGAGGGTTCTGTGAATTTGATGAAGAAGACTATGGATCCAGTGATAGAAAAGTTTGTGGAATTTCAGATGACGATGGTCTACTAAGAGAGAATGTCTTGTGTAAAATAGAGGGTTTGTGGGATTTGGGAGTAATATCCATAAGTTCAAGACTGAAAAGCTGAATTTAGTTATGTTTTCATGAACAACATTTTTATTATACTCATATTACTGAAATTCTTGAGTTACCTTTGACTTTTATTGTTAAAAGTCAGTTCTGCTTTAGTTTTTGTGGAAACAAGTTTGTAATGCTGTAGAGTCAAAGAACCTGAACTGAAAATATCTATTGTGCCTTACCCTAGACAGCTGCTGTCATGGACTAACATTTTGTGTTAGTTGAACTCATTAATTTTTCCAATGAAAAAATACATAGCTTAGTGTTTGTTTTTACCACCTCAGTTCTAGCTATTTGTTAAGTATTGTAATTATAGCTTTATTAAATACAGAATGATTTTTTAGTTAATATCCTATACATATCTTGGAGATAAAATAGAAACAGTATATTTGAGTCTTATTACTACAACTGATTTAATTTGTTTCGATAAATTTTGTTGAGATGTCGTACCATGGTTCTGTGTACCATGTTGAAAGTGTGGTACATGTTTTACATGTTAACAACTTACTGTTTAATAATTACACAACTAACAAAAAGTTCAGGTTCTTTGTGCTCAAATCTGAAAATATCAAAGGTTTATAATGTTTTAAGATGGTGAAACATGGTCAGTGTTTCAGCTACATTTTTTAAACCCCTTGGATGTTGTTTGTGATGAGTGAGATTCCTTCAGAAAGCTTTCTATCATGTTTTATTTTTTATGCTTAGAATTGCTTTGGATAGAGAGAGAAGAGTTAAAGCTACACCTTTTAATAATAATTAATTATTTTAAAGATTTTTGGCATATTAGCATACATGTGACTTTTGTGATTTACATAGTAATACATATTTCTTATGTTTGTATTCAAATGCTATTTACTCTGTTAGGTAATCAATGATGGACCATTTAGGGCCAAAAGGATTGAAGTTGTAATATCTTGGCCTTTTGAAATAGAGAATAACAAAACACATGGAAAGTGGGTGCTTTATTTGATGGATATACCAAAGGTAAGATCATTGTCTACTTTTGTACTTACTCTTTGATAGTTACATATTGGCTTGTATTCCTTTTTTTCCTAAGGGATCATTCAGGTAATAAATTCAGAATTTTGAATGTTGTTAAATTATTGCCTAGTTTTTATTTAATTAAGAGTGAGCATAACAAATGGCTAAATTAGATGTGCAAAAGGAAAAAAAAATGCTCAGTATGTTTGGACAAATGACCTTCATCGTGATGTAGGATAGCTTTATTGGTGAAATATCTGACGTTTTTTTTAGAAATTGTGATTACACTGACTTCAATGATGTTAAAGCCAAATACTTCCTAATAACACTAAACAAATAGTTATATTCATTTTAACTTACATTTGTTTTTCTTCACAAATCACTAAATATCAGGAATAACAAACACAAGCAGGCACCAACTTTTTTGAAAACTAGAATTAGCTGTATTGACTTGCTCATTCTGGGTTAAATAATATATAATTAGCTACTTTTCAAATAGCTAGAGAAATAAGCATTTGACATCAATTAACAAGATCTTATGTATTATTTAGGTGTTTTTCTTGAAAGTTTTCCTTCATTGAATTTGTATAAAGCAAACTTTTAAAAAATTGAAACATTCATTTAACTCGAATCATCATCCAGAACATTTTTGATTTGTAGCTTTAGCTTTAAAGCAGAAAGTGTTTTCTCAGTTCTATGTTGGAACTCATGGGCAAGTATGTGTATATAATTATATATTCATACATACATATATATACTAGACCACCCGTGACCCGTTGGGTCACCCACTATTCAGAGGTTATGAAGAATTCAAGCTAATTTCAATGTTGCACCGAAATGAAGGTTTATTTAGAGATAATTTAATCAAATATTTCAATCCATTCGTGTTATTCATAATTCAAGAAAAGATATTTGATTGTTGATCGGGAGTAAAAGGAAAGACCATTTCATTTTTCAAAAAAGTGAAGTCAGAGTTTTCAGGTATTTTAATGAACAAACCTTATTCACAGTTGATTCAAAATGCCTGAAAATAAAAAATAACAGATAATAGTAATGTTATTCATGGTTCAGTATAACGTAATTGCTATCAAAAAACCAAAAAAAGCTATTTCAGAAAAACTTTTCATACTTACATGCTCAAATTACTGCAAGAAACAGCAAAACTTGATAACTGATACACCATGAAATTCACCAAATGAAAAATCTTTGTCACTGTCTCACAGTGAATGATTTTTTGACTGAGAAAATGTTCTCATTTTCTTACCTACCATAACCAAGGCACATTATTAAGAAATTCTTCAAGATCTTGTTTTTGTCATCTTACACCTTTTAATGAAGATGGGAACATTGACAGGGAAATAGATTTGAATAAAAAAGTTTCATAAAGAGCGCAAATGGTAGTGTGATGTAAAATTACTTATGGTAGAAATTTTCATAAAAGTGACCCGAAAAATGGCACTAACTCGGTAACCCGTGGCCCGATTTTAATGGAACTTGTTTTATTCTGTTTCTATTATCATTTCAGGGGGTACCGTATTCTTACAAATATGGTGCTGTTTTTGCTGTATTTAATAACAGACAAGCAAACAAACAAACAATTTCAGAGTTTTAGTAGTATATAGATAGATAGATGTATATATGCAATACTTTCGTAAGTCAGCACAACACCTAAATGCTACATTCAATGGCATGTTTGTTTCTAATTAATGCTTCACAAAGCAAAACAGCTTATGAAAATTACATTAAAGTGTCAAATTCATTTACAATGATCAACACAGTTGGCAAAAGTATTTTAATGTAACTATGGTTTACATATCACACACTGTACGTTACATTAGCTTGTATGTTGTTTAATAATAAACATCTTAAAGTTGTTGCACTTATGTTGCCATCTTTTGACGAAATAGGAAAATAGATTTGAATGGAGAAGTTTCGTAAAGAGTGCAAACGGTAGTGTGATGTAAAATTACTCATGCTTGAAATTTTCATAAAAGTGACCAAAAAACAGTGCTAACTCGGTAATTCATGGCCTGATTTTAACGAAACTTGTTCTATTCTGTTTCTATACTCATTTCTTATATTCTATTCATATTTCTATTCTCATGTTGTGTGCCATTTTTGCTGTATTTAATTACAGACAAACAAACAAACAATCTCAGAGTTTTAGTAGTATATAGATATAATAAATAAATGCTAAGAGAAGTGTTTCATTAATAACTTGATGTCAATGAACTTTTACTCATTATTAATCATGTTTGAAGAATCCCTGTCCTCTAATTTTTTATTAAGTCTACATTCTGATTTTAAAATTGTGGCTGTATCTGTTGCTCTACAGATGAAAATATTTCACTATTTCAAACAGGTTGAAATTAATGGGGAATGTGTGGTGGAAAAAGGCCAAGTGAATCCTTTGAATATTAAGGTAACACTACATTTCTGTTTGTCATCATTATAGCTTATATATAAATAAGTCATATTTTCAGAATGTTGTTTCAAAGTGCTTTAATAAATAAATTGTAAACTGACATCATAGGAACAACCTGAATACTTGTTTGTTTGTATTTGTCTTTTAATTATAACATTAGATTTATAAACTGTGGTAATTTCTGATGGAGTGTGTTGATCATTGTCTCTTTAAAAAAGTGCAAAACTAAGATATTTATTTCTTCTGATTAAGAAGTTAGCACACAGGATCACATACAAAAGTCGTAATGGTTTTTCAAATGAGACCCATATTTATCTCTTCACCATAACTCACTTGTAAAGATGATGTCACCAACAAAATTTTCAAACTATATATTAAACAGTCAGAGTCCCTTAATTTAATATTTTGTAACCAAAGCTTAAGTATATTCTAAGTTATTAGTCTTTTACTTGGAGGGAATTTAAAAATACAAAACTCTTTGGTTATCATATTTTTTTCATGTGATAGGATAAGATATAAATTGTTTATGGCTAAAAAAATAAGTTGAATAGATTTATCTTCTCTATAATATTTTGTGTGTATAGAAATTAAGTAAGATAAATTGGTATGGGTTTTTTAAGCATTGATGTTGTTTACATGATATTACTTTTTTCTTGATTTCAGATTTTTTCTTGTATAATTGTTTTTAACTTTTTTTTATATGTAGCTTGTTTTAGTTTGAGTACAATTTTAACAGATTTTGTTTAAAATATTTAATTTGCATATTTGTATCAGTTGTTTGTAAATAAAGACTGTTGGGATAAAATATTTTGCCAAAAAAAGTCATAAGATGCTGTCATATGTAAAAGATGACAAAACAGCAAATGCTTACAGTAATAAGAGTTCTGTTTCATTTGTTTAGTCATCATCTGGTTTGTGTTTGATTGAAATATACTGAAGTACCTATAGATAGACATCATGTGGTATCTATGATGTTAAAAAAAGCTAATGAAAAACTATCATGATATTTTTAACAGTTCTATTGACTTATTACAGTGCCTTAAGATTTTAAAATGTTGTAATTTAAAAACATTTTGAGCATTTCGTTGTATCATTTATGTTTCACAGGAATTGCCAGAATTCAAGTTATCAATTGTAAGTGTACATGAAACAAGCTTAAAGTTACTATCTCTAATTTCTGTCTTTTTGTTTAATGTATGATTGCATGAAAATAATATGAAGTTAAATGTTTGTCTTATAGCAAGAACTTTCTGTTAATTAGTATTTTATGAAATACTTTCTACAGAGTTTGTTGCTGTGTTGTTGTATGTCAGTGTTTTATATATATTGATACTTGCTTGTTATAACAGTGATTCTGATATGTTGCATGTTTGTGCAAACTTCTTTCATTGCTTAACTATGTTTTATGACATTTATTTCCTGAATTTTCAATTGGGTTTATCTGTAATAAAATGCCTAAACAATTATAGGAAATGTTAATTTATATTCTTATAACTATGTTACATGTAAAACAAAATCAGTAAAAAATAAACATCATTCACTCCTCTCAGTTCATTGTTAGGCAGATTCAAACTTGGCTTATTTATTTTCTTGTGTTGGCCAGGTTAAGGAGATTTTTAGATTTAAGCAAATTTGAATTTATATTGTTTTAAACTTGGATGAGTAGATAAAACAAATTCAAATGTGGCTAGTAATCTTCTGAAATTTCAAATACCTTGCACTCTAAAAATACAGAAAGGTTAGCAAAGGCTATAGTTATTAGTGTATGCTAATTAGACATAATGTCAGACTTCTGCTTAAAATTGAATGATAAAGCTTCAGATAAAGGCATTTCATGGTATACAAAAACAACAGATTAGGGTTTTAAAAAAGGTAAAGACCGTTTAATGCCTTATCTTGTAAAACATAAGAGCAAGGCTTTTCTGACATTTACTAGAATGAATGTTCATGTTGGTATTTCAGACAATGTCTACAAATAATGTATATATATATTTATTGTACATGTTAAAAACTATCACTTGTAATATAGCTTGATATCTACTTGGTAGACTGCTATTCCACCTTCTAATTTGTGTCACAATCCTGGTATAAAGAGAATAGCTTTGCATGAATTTCATCATACTCAAAGGATGTCTTAGATACTTATCAAAACCTTCCATATTGGCATCCAAACATGCAATGATACAGTTGGATGGATACTTGGACAAGGCAGACTATAATTTACAACTCTAGCAGTTGAATCTGTAAGCTGTTGATTGTGGTATGCTGTAGTTAAATGTTCGACAACTGAATTAGATATTCACAACTACAAATGGATGATGGTTAGAAACAGAGTTTGCAGAGCTGTCCAGTATTAACATCTACATTAGTGCCAAAAATACATTCAGTTGACCAATAACATGTGGAGCGATATTCTTTTTATGGATGAATAATTCTTCTTCCTACAGCCAGGTAATAGACGCATGATTATTTAAGGAGAATTTGGAATAGGATCACAATGTGTGGCAGTGGTAGAAGTATAGTATAGGCAGGAATAAGCATTGGTAGATGTACCAACTTCTACATCCTGCAGAGGGGTACTATTATAGGAATCATATCCTACAACCTTTTGTACTGTTGAAAGCTGGTATTATTGGCCATTATCTCAGCATAATGGATGATTATGTGTACATTCACTGTGCTAAACTGGTTGACTAAAAAGTTCAGACTGCACACTTACTGGACTTCAGTGGCATTGAACATCTTTAGGATGCTCTTTGGAGACATGTCATGACCCTTAAAGTGATTCCAGGTAGTAAGGCTATCCAGAAAACAGTTTTATTGCAGGACTGGTTGATAGTACCTCAGAAATTTGTTAGCACTTTTAATTGTATTACAGCTTATCACTACTATTCATTTTGTAAATAAATGTTTCTTAGGGCAATTTATTTGATTAAAGCTGTTTCAGAACAAACTGCTAAATAAAAATCAGGGAGGAAAAGTGATATTTCCATTTATATATAAAATTTGGTATATGTGTACCAATGAAAAAACATGGTTTTAATGGTTGAAATTATCTGTATAAAAATACTATAACAACATAATGATCCATAGTTTTCTATTCCCTCTTCTTCCAACTATCTGCACAGAAACAAATTGAATATAGTGTTTTGGAAAAGTCTATGGATGATTAACATATGTTAATTGATTTAGCTTTGTAATTTTGTTTTATTTTTCATAGGGCATTTCTCTTCATACAATGTCTACTGATATTCCTGTTTTAATCATTATGATTTTGTCCATTTTGCAGCAAGTAATGTAATTATTAAATGGGATTTTAGCTTGAGGTAAAATTTATTTAAATATTGAATCTAACAAATAAGTTATTGAACTAGCATAAAGGTTTTGTATTGATGAATCATGGAACAAAAGTAGACTGAGCATTATGTGTGATGTTTAATAAACTTGTTGGAAATGCCTGTAATTATCTTCAAAGACTTAAAAGTAGTCAGATTGTTAGTGGTATTCTCACTATATTTTTTGAAATTCATGAAACATCAAAATGCAGTGCACATTTTACTTTCTTGTTTGTTGGTATGCATGTATGAATATAGATACATACATGTATATGTGTGTGTGTATATACATGTATGTGATTCATGTTGAATATACTACTGTATTTGTCATATCCAAGCCAGTCTTATTAACCTTTGAATTGGTTGAAACTTCTTATTTGGTACTAGATATAACAAATAGAATGTAGATGAAATATTGTTATACATTATTTTTTGTTTTTGGAATACAGCTACTTTTCAGCAGTGAATACAGCTAAAGTTTGAAAAATTAATATATATTTATATACACATACATAGTATGCATATATTTAAAGACATGAACAGCTTTCACACCAGAATAAAATAAACATAAGAAAAATGACAGTCGCAATGAAAATGCAGAGATGAGTACATCATATTTATTTTTAAATATCAATGAAATAGAAAGCCCAACTGCTTTCTTGTTTTACCCATAATATATATGTAATAGGCACACCTACAGAAACAGTTAAACATGATAATATCACTATCAAAATACCATTTAAGTATGTACTCATGATAAACAGGTCAGTATCTAGATATGGTCTTTGCAATCTGTTATTTATCTCTAATGTGTTACAAGTTCCTCTCACTTTGAATTTGTAAATTATGGATGAACTTTGAAAATGGTATTTGATTTTATTGCATTTTTTCAAAGCATGCATTAGGATTAATTTTGCATGCATTTCAAAAGTAAAGTATTTTAAAACATTGATCACAACTAAAAATATGAGTTGTATTATTACACTGCTTTCTCTAGTTTCAAGTAAACAGTGTTATGTAAAATTAGATTGTGTCATGTAAGCTTACAATAATTACATATACATTTATTTGTACTTGTAACTGCCTATTTATAAATACACCAGGGGATTCATTGCAAAGAGGAATTTCAACCAACAAATTTCACTGATCAATATAGTGTTCTGTGATGATTGTCTGTTCTTTATAGAATTATGATAAAATTCTGGAAATTCCATTGATGTCTTGGTATTAAGGTACACTGATATCCAACCTGTCACCAAACACACCATTTTAAACTTGTGGACAGTACAATGTAATTGTCAATTCCACTATTTACTGGTAATGTCTAGCCCAAGAGTTGGGAGTGGTGGCTCTAGTCTGTCACTTCAAAATTAGAGACAGTGCAGATAGCCATTGAATAGCATTGCATGAAATTCAATCAAGAAACACTAATAACTGACAGATTGTTAAATGAGTATTCACAATACAGCAGATTCTGGAAATGTTATGCAGAGTGATACTTAAATGCAGACAGCAAAGGAAACACAAATACACAAGTGAGTAAATAAACAAAATCTTCACAAACAATGTTGGTTATCAATAGGCAAGGTTCTGTTTTGTTAGACTGACTTTAGCTAGCTGCTGGATAAAGAGTAGGTTTGCCAAAAAATGTCCACTCAAGGACCAAGGAAATAATAATTATGTCCACACAAAGCAAGAATAAAAGAAAGAATAAGAT